AGGCAGTGGTTCTCAACCTTCTGGCCCTTTAAATACAGTTCCTCATGTTGTGACCCAACCATAAAATTATTTTTGTTGCTACTTCATAACTGTAATGTTGCTACTGTTATGAATCGTAATGTAAATATCTGATATGCAGGATGGTCTTAGGCGACCCCTGTGAAAGGGTCGTTCGACCGCCAAAGGGGTCGCGACCCACAGGTTGAGAACCGCTGTCTTAGGGTCACTGGGCTTCTTGCATGGTAGTTGGGTGTGACCTAACCTTGGAAACGTGCAGCATCATCCCACCGTATCCTATTGGTTACAAGTGGATCACAAAGGCCAGCCCAGATTCAAGGGGAAGGACATTCATGGAAGGAATGTCAATGAACTTGTAGCCATTTTCTAAAACCACAACTTACTGAGGTCTCACAGTTTAAATATCCTGGAGGAAATATATATATATATGTATTTTTTTTTTAATTTAAAACATATATCCTGGAGGAGGTGACCTGACCACACTCTGTTCCGTGTCTGGGCTAAGTGCCTCCTCTGTGGTCCCCCAGCCCTGCTGTCCATCTCATCAGTGCGTTTCCATCCCCGTGTTTATGTATCTTTCTCCTCCTCGGATCTGTCTTTTTCATCTTTGTATGTCCAGAGTCTGGCATAAGCAACCCCTTAACGAATGCCTGTTGAATGGGTGAGTGAATGAGAGATTGAATGGCCTAAGGCACAGAGTCCAATGCAGAAGTCATTCCTTCCTCATGAAGTTTACATATTAATCGAAAAGACAGACACCCGGAACCTCTATGTTCATGTTGACCAATGTCACCCCAATAAATTTAATTTAAAAAATAAGTGGAAAGATACAAAATAAAAACTATATGTGATAAATGCTATTAAGAAAAATAAAGCAAAGGAGATATTATAAGGGATGGTGGAGATACGTTGTATAAATGGTTGGGGAAGACCTTTTTGAGGTAATGACACTGGAGCTGAGACATGAAGAAAGTGAGGGAGTATATCATGTAAATATTTTGGAGAAGAGCATTTCAAGCAGAGTGAACAGCACGTACAAAGGGCCTGAGGCGGGTGTGCGCTTGGCCGTTTTGAGGAACAGCAAGGGAGTCAGTATGGCTAGGGCATGGTGAGAAAAGGAAAAGGCAGTTGGAAACAAGTACCAGGATGAGCCACAGCCAGATCACATAGGGCTTTAGAGGACATGCTGGGGACTGGCTTTGGGCCTGAATGAGATGGAGACCATCAGAGAGTTTTGAGCAGAGGGAGGACATGGTCTGATTGATAGTTTAACCAGATCCCTTTAGCTGCTGTGTGGACAATAAGAGTGTGAACAGGGCAAAGGAGAAAGCAGAGTCCAGTGAGGGGGTCAGTACAGGACCCAGAGCCGATAGCAGCCAGGACCAGGAGGGGGGCCATGAAAGAGGTGAGAAGTGATAGGACACAGGACACATTCTGAAGGTAGAGCCAAGGGATCTGAAGCCATGAGAAAAAGAGGAGCCAAGGGACGGAGAGGTTTTGGCCTTTTAGTGACATGTGGAGATGTGGTGGACTAGGCAGCAGGCTTGGGAGCTTTGTGGAAACAAAAACTTACTTTTGGACAGGCCAAGTGGGGGACCAATTAGCTACCCCAGTGGAGATAACAAGAAGGCAGCTAGCCCTGACCGGTTTGGCTCAGTGGATAGAGCATCGGCCTGCGGACTGAAAGATCCCAGGTTCGATTCCGGTCAGGGGCATGTGCCTTGGTTGTGGGCACATCACCAGTGGGAGGTGTGCAGGAGGCGGCTGGTCGATGTTTCTCTCTTGTCAATGTTTCTGGCTCTCTGTCACTCTCCCTTCCTCTCTGTAAAAAATCAATAAAATATATTAAAAAAAAAAAAAAAGAAGGCAGCTAGACAGACAAGTCTGGAAATGTTGGGATGGAGACACCCCTGAGAACCCACAGTTGAGATAAGCACAATTCTAGGATGGCCCCCAAGATGCCCGCCCCCTGCTGAGCATTCCTGACGTAAGCTCTTCCCCAGTGTGGGGCAGGCCAGTGCGCATCATGACTGTCAGTCGTGTGATTAGATTAAAACGGCGAAGGTGAAGGGATTTTGCAGATGTGCCTCAGGTCCCAGATCAGTTAATTTTCAATTAATCAAAAGGGCGATTTTCCTCGGTAGCGTGATTGGATCAGGCACGTCCTTAAAAATAGAGCCTTCCTGAGTCCAGTGGCTGGAAGCGGAGGAAGACTCCCCTGCTGACCTTGACAAAGAAGCTGCCGTTCTGGGAGAAGGCCTGTGAAGAAAGGAACTGAGCACCGGCTCTCGGGAATCAAGCGTGGCCCCAGGTGACAGCCAGGAAGAAGACAGGGACCCCATTCTTACACACAAGGACCTGGATTCCGCCCACCACCACGTGAATTTGGAGGGAATGCTGAGCTCCAGAAAGGAATGCAGCCCAGCCAACGCCTTCACTGCAGCCTTGTGAGATCCTGAGCAGAGAGCCGAGCTGAGGCATACCTGGCCTCCTGCGAAACAATAAACACGTGGTTTTAAGCTGCTCAATTTCGGCAGTTCATTATGTAGAAATAGATAACCAACAGATCAGCGTGTAAGTGTCTTTAGCCTTGGAACCAAGATGGCTCAAAGAACCCAGGCAAGGGACCTGACTGCAGAGTCAAAGACTGCACGAATGCAGTGAGCTTGGAGATGGACACACCCCCAGCCCCAGCCCCAGCCCCAGCCCCAGCCCCAGCCCCAACTGCGTCCTACTCCGTTCAGCCACTAGGTGTCCCCAGAGTCCACACAAGCAGATCTCCCCACCTTTCTCAGGTCAGAATCCATTTCCTTCTGATATGGAAGGAACCAAATAATAAATGGTCTCTCCTGTATTCCTATCCCATCTCCTCCACTTCACATATGCGGAAACTAAGGCCCGCAGAGGGAAAGAGCCTGGCCCAAGGCTGACGCTCTAGCACTGTAAGCAGCCAGGCATGTACCCTCCCCGCCCCCACCCCCACCCCCGCCTCCTCCCTGAGGATTCTGAAGGGCAAACACAGACTGAGGACCGCCCTTTCTCAGCTTTGACCAGGAGGGACTTCACATGAGAATGACATCAGCAGAGGGCTCGGGAGTGCCTTGTGGCTGAAGCTGGAGTGTCTATGGGATGCCTAATGGAAAGGGTACGACCCTAAGGTTGGGGCCGTGTTGGTGGGGTGAATAGACTCCTCCTGACATCAACTCCCAGGGGGTGGCGGGATTAGAGGTGCCAGGCCAGGGTTGCTGAGCCAGCTACCCAAGGCCCTTTGTCCAGCCCCTCGCATCCTCCATTGCAGACTGGGTTCTCCAGAAACAGACACAGAGACTGAGTTTGGGGTGCAAAATATTTATTAGGGATTAGCACCTGTGAAAAGAAAAGGGAGGAAGCAGGATTGGGTATAGGAAGTCAGATGGCCCTGCAGGCCTGGCAAAGCCTCCCCCACCCTGGAGGGGCCTTGGGGGAGTGTGGGGGGAGGGGCAGCACAGTGCTGTCTGCCGGAGTCCGTCCCACCCTGAACCAAGAAGGCCGGGCTGTCACTCCTGATCTCACTCAGACACCACACAGCAGCCCTGGGTGAACGGCGCTCTGCAACCGGAGCGGACCCTCAAAGAGCTGACGGAGAGGCTCTCCACTGACCAGACTTCCCGCAGCTGGGGAAGTCCTTCCTTGCAGGGGGTTATGGGGGACACGCATCTGTCTTCCACAGTCCTTAGCTCTTTCTTATAGGACCTGGGGGGTGGGGTATCTTGTTTCCAATTAGCGAAGCCGAGAAACTGTCGCTGTCATTTCTGCACTGCCCCAGACCACCTTCCTGTACACACCCAGCCCTCCCAAACTGTGCCCTAGTCCCCCTTTAAATCACCTAAGGGCATCCCAGTCCCCTCATACCCTCTCTAAATGAGGTCTGCACACGCGGCCTTGGTTCTCACTGGGGAAACAGGCTTTGTCCAACCTTAGGAATTCACAGGATCTGGTAGAGGAATAATTAAGGTGCAGGGGTGTCCGGGGGACAAAAGAATTTTGAAAGCCTTGGTCTCAGTTTCCAAAACACATGGTGAGAATCTCAAGGGTAGGAACCATTGTTGCTTGCTGCTTTTCTTTACTCATTTAATAAATTTATGCTTTGGGCCGATGATGTGCCGGCACTGGGACCAACACCACCACTCTAGGCTCTGAGCCGTGTGCAGTTTCACAGAGGGAGAGGTAGCGCCCTGAAGTCATACAGAGACAAACCCAAGATTTGGAGCCCCGTCTCTGATCTTGGTTGCTCTTCGCCACTCTGACCCTCAGTTTCCGCCTCTGGACAAGGGAGTAATGCAGTTTCTGGAGCACCGTGTTCAATGCGTCTCACTTCGAACTCCGTTTCATCCTATGAAGCAGGTACCACTATCATCCCCATATTACACATATGGAAAGAAGAGTCAGGGTCAAGTGAACTCGCTCAAGGTCACACAGGTAATGGAGCTAGGCTTTGAGCCCAACACTGCTTCTTAATCCTCATTAAGATCAGGGCCAAATTGGCCCCCTTGGACCAGGTGTGTCTCACACATTTCATTTGCTCCACAAGAATTTAAAAATATCTGAGTTGGCTTTCATTTTGAAATTGAGATGATCATAGAAATAGACTCTTTGCACTTTCTCTTGAAAAATCTAGCCATCTGGCCACTGTGGGCTGCAATCCCACAGGGTCACAACTGACAGGTGAGCCACCCCCTCTCCTCCCAGTGGGTCATGAAGCCAATGTCCACCCAGACTCCCATTCATTTATGTTACCTGCCTGGCCCCTGCAGGAATGAGTTTGCCATCCTTAATGAAGCCCAGGGAGTCCTGAGATAGAGGGAGACAGGCTGGATGGGCCAGGTGCCTTGCCCTGGAACCCCCCAGCTCTTCCTGAATGGCGCTAACAAAAGACTTAAATCTGGCAAACTGTTTGGGAAGGGTTGAGGAAAGGCACAGACATGTAGAACCACAGGGCGAGGTAGGGGCAAATACACTTTATTCAGTCCTGGCATCAGACTGGCATCAATCCTGCTGTGGGTGCCAGTGCCCCAGATGGGAGGGATCCCTCCCTTCAGCTACTAGACTAGTTCTCCAAGACCACAGACAATGACATCTCTTCACTCACATGACGTTTTCTGGGTTTTTTCATTGTCTTTTTGTTGTTGTTTTACTTAAAAAAAGAGAGAAAGAGAAAGAGAGAGAGAGAGAGCGCAAGAAAAGGCCCAGAGCCGGAGCACCAAGCGTAAAGGAGGCAGCTGGTGGCTTTGTCAGCGACGGGAACGCGTGGGGCAGAGACCAGCAGAGACCCTGGGCAGGGGTCCCGGAGGACTCTGGGACCGTTTGTTCCTGAGATTTGTGTGTGTGAATGAGTGTGTGTGCGCACCTGGGAGGGTGAACACACGCCGGTGAGATACAGGTAGTGAGGGCAAGGGGGGTCGGGGGAGGCCGGAGGGGCGGGGCTTGAGCCAAGAATTGGAGTAACGGGGGTAACATCAGGGGCAGGGTCCCGAAGGCACCCGAACCTGGACACAACTTCCTCCTACAGCAGCTCTATCCCTATTTTTCATGGAAAAACTGAGGCGCACAGGGCACACCTGCACTGCTCTGACCGCCCTTCAGTCTCACTGGTCCAGCCGATGGACTCTCTCAAGTCAGCGGCTTTAACACGAGGCTCTTCTTGCCACTCCGTCTGCTATCGTGCCTCAGTCTCAACCCCTAGTAGCTTCGTGCCTCGGTTTCTCCCACTGAACACGATCACTGCGGGCACAGAGGAGCTTGGGTGATGGAATGGGGCTGTGGGCTCGAGGAGCAGCCCGGCTGGGAGTGCCCTGGAGTGACAGGGCACTTCCGGGGGAGGAGGGGACCCTGTCCCCACACAGCCTGGTCTGTGTCGTGGTTCTGAGTTTTCTTGGTAGGTGGCCCCTTTTGTCTCCTGGTGCGTTTCCAGGAAAAGACCCTACCCCCAATTCCCAGGTGGGGGAATGAAAGAGAGGTTTCTGGACACCAAAATAGGCTGTAGAGGCATTCACGCAGTCGGTGTGTGTGTGTGTGTGTGTGGAGGGGGTGGGGGGTTTGCATGTGGGTCTGGGCGACGCCGTAAGCAAAAGGGGGTTATGCCCCTTGGGGCAGTTCCAAGTTCCAAACCAACACCTTCGGACCAGCTAGGCCCTTCCTCCCCCTCCTGAGTGCTCCTCCCTATTAAGGCAGAGACGCCCCGTCGGGTTGAAAGGGAGCCGCAGCTCCCGAATCAGAATATTTCTCAGGATGGCTCCACACCCACCCCGCTTCTCCCCAGCGCTGGACAGAGGGACCAGCCCCCTCCTCCAAGAAGCACTAAGCATGCGCGAGAAGGGGGCGGGCCCCAGCGCTCCCGGAGCACCAGGAGCGCGCCCCTCCCCCCGCCGTGGGAGGGGAGGGGCCTGGGAGAAGCGCGCGGGGCCGCCGGGCCCCAGCGCCCCCTCCGACGAGAGAGGAGGCGGGCTGGGCGAAGGCGGAGGGATCCCAGAGCAAGGGCAGGGGCGTGTCCTCCGGCCTCGAGGAAGGGCAAGTGCATAGTGGGGGAGGGGCACAGGTTTGCAGGCAAGGACGGGAGGTGTGTCGGAGGGGGGCTGGCTGCTGGTGGCTGTGCAGGAGGGGGCAGGACGGGGAGGGGCTTGGATGTCAGGGGGAGGGTGGGGGTTGGGCTCTCCTGGGGTGTGTCTGCGGGGGAGGGGCATGTCTGGATTCGAGGGGGATGGGCACGTCTAGGAGGGGGGAGGCTGCGTGGGAGTTGGGGTGCCAGCCTCGGCCTCCGAGGGGCCCCAATACCTGATTCCTGTATGTAAACAGCTGGTTTGGGGGCTTGCGCGCCCCGCTGACGGTGGGCTCAGTAGGTGAAAACCAGGTCGGCGATGCTAGACGGGCGCCAGTCCCCCGCGATCATCTCGGTGACCTCGGGGGTGCAGTAGTCCGGGAACTCGAAGTGCGACGTGCCCGAGGGAGGCTGCAGGTCCGGGTCGCGGTCGAGGGCGCTGCAGTCCAGGCCGGCTGGGCACGGGGGCAGTTTGGACAGAAAGCCCAGCGTCTCCTCTCCCGAGGCCACCGTCTCTTCCTCGCCATCCTCCGCCGCCGCCGCCGTGGTCTCCTCCTCCTCTTCCTCCGGCTCCTCGTCCTCCGACGGATTCGGGGAGGCGGTGGTGACAGCCGCCCCCTCGCCCGACGGCCCCTGGGCGCGCTCCGCTGGTCCCCGGGCAGCCCGCCCCGCCGGGACCATCTTCCACAGCTCCCGCCCGGGGGTCTCCACCAGGCGCACTTCCAGCAGCTCCTCGTCGTCGTCCTCCTCGTCGTCCTCGGGCGCCGCCGCGCCGCCCCCCAAAGGCCCTCCCGCCGCTCGGGGCTCCCGCGGCCAGGCAGCTGCGGCCGGAATTTGAGCCGGC